ACAGCCACGGTATCCCCTTGTTTAAATGTGTTTCATTCAGGTTCCCTCCTGTAACCACACATGCATCGATAATGGCCGCCCAAAACCCCAAAAAAATCAAGGTCTGATATCATCTCAAGTTTGTAAAAAGCCTCTCATCCCAGCATGCAAATTGCCCTCACTTAAAACAGCCATTATCTGAGAGTCTCTATTATGCTTGTTGGGGGCTTCCCTTCCCTGTAGAAAGTTCTATCGGCTTTAATGCATGTAAATGGTCTGCAAAGGCTAACATCCCTGTGTTTCCTGCAGAGGGGGTTTCTCTCCCATACACACCCCCTCTAAATTGATTGAAATGAGTACAGAGAACACGTGTTTGTGTGGCCGCTCGATGCGCTTGGAGTTAAAAATATTTCAAGAAAATCGCAGATGATGTCACTTTAGAAACGGGAAGAGAAGATCGGTTTTCATAACAAACACTCTTCGTTTACTTCAGGAACATAGTGACATCACTATGGAACATTCTATTGGCTAGCGCTCCAACACCTTGTACGTGAAGGTGAAATAAGTTGTTAACAGTATTTCAACACAGCACACGACCCACTAACTGTCATTTTGAGGTCATGCAGGACTTCCTGTCTCTTGCAGTCGTGTTTCCGTCTGTCACTTTGTTTTAATAATAACAGACATACAGACACCCCCTCCCCCACACTTTGTCTTACCCCCCAGCACCCTGCTGTACCCCCCCTCCCTCTGTGTGTGAAGTGAAGTCCTGGAGGAGACATTCATGGCAGTAGTGATGTTCACTTAGCTCCACCTGCAGGCGGTGTACTCCCATGAGAAGGTGAAGATGGAGGGAACCATCACGCAGCAGACCAAGCTCATCGACTTCCTGCAGGCCCAGGCGCACGGGGGCTCCAAGAAGAAGAAGGTCAGCACCATGTTTTTTATTTATTTATTTTAGGAAGCGACAGATGTTACAACAGCTGTGCCGTCATCGAGATTGTTTTGTTCCAGTTTTTTTGCATTTAAAAAAAACGGATTATTTCGTTTTTTTGTTCAATATTTTCTCTAACTTTAAATCTTTTTAAGTTTTGCAATTTGTAAATAAATCATTGCAGCAAGATTTGTCCAACTATGCCATTGCTTTGTAGAGTTTTCAGAGTTTGCATTTTGACATCTTTTTGATTAGTAAATATATATTTAACAGTGGCTTGTTAATTATTATTTTGTATTTATTTTTTAATATGGCATATGAAATGATAAAAGGATGAGAGCTTAAAAATGTAAAATAAGTAATATTAATAATGAAACAAATAAATACAATAAAAGCCATATTTATATATAAAGCTAAAATCCAGCATATTTACATTTTGAAGCATTAATTGTTACAAATGTTCATCAATGTGCATTCTCCCTCTTCAAATAAACGATTCAATGAAAAAATGAAATAAATATTAGTGCAAATGACTTCCCAAAATAGAAGGGAAAATTCAAGTAATTTAAGTTTGAAAATGAATTTATCATAAAGTTTAAATTCAGGACATATGCCGTTCAGAGATAGTTGTAGATCATCCCCACATAGAAACTGAACTCAGAACTCATGTGGAAATGAAGCTGCATATTAATCATTCAAAACATGTGAATACATATTGTTCCTGTTCCTCTCAGGGTCTGTTTGGCCGTCGTCGGGAAGACCTTCTGGCTGCCATGGCTGCTCAGGCTCAGAATCAGAGTCAGAGTCAGAATCAGAGTCAGGGTCAGGGTCAGGGTCCGGTGTCCCCGCTGCCCTCCATCCAGCCGGTGCCTCTGCAGTACAGCGACATCAAGCTGGCTCTGGACAAAGAGAGGGGTCGCAGCACGGAGCTGGAGGAGGCGCTGCAGAAGATGAGAGGAGAGCTGCGGTCTCTGAGAGAGGAGGGTGAGTCACTCTCTTTGACCTATAGGAAACTCATCCAATCCAACTTTATGCATACAGCACATTTAAAAACAGCAGAGTCCACCAAAGTGCTGCACAGCAATACATATATAAAAAGCAGCATAAATACATTTAGACAAAACCGATAGGACCAAACAATTATTTTAAAACACAAGACAATGAAACCATACTTACTGTATATTAGCCACAGACTGAAAAACTCTCATACACGATGAAAAACTATATAAAACACAAGTAAAGACAAAAAAACGTTCCGTCCGTCACTCTGTGAGGGTGAGTTACTCGCCTTTGAAATATAGATTGCATTACATGACACTTGTTAGACACTTTTATCCAAAGTGACTTACATACTCAATACTGTGGACAATCCCCACAGGAGCACTTTGGGGTGAAGTGTCTCAGGGACACAACGACATGCTGACTGCAGTGGGGTTTGAACCTGTGACCCCCTGATCCCAACATCAACGCACAACCCACTGCGCCACACACCACGTAGATAACTACGGAAGCCCTGAAGGCGAGTGGGGTAAAGAAAGAAAAACTATGGGTATCCATTTTCTAGATCTGATCCAAATAGTTTTCCCCCTGTGCTTATGACTGACGAACACCTAGAAAACGTGTTGGATATCAAACCATTCACATCTTAAATTTACATTTTAAGAAATTGTAGTTTTTGTATTTCTACCCCAAGCTTCCATAAGTGGGTCAAAAATGACCCGCATGCATTTCCTAAAGGAACCTTTGATTCTTACCACCTGTTGCTGTCAGGAATACATTCACTGTAGACGACATCACAAGTGACACCTCTCAGGAAGATTATTTTACACAGCAGGATCTGATACCTGTCAGTAATAATAATAATAATAATAATACATTATATTTGTATAGGGCTTTTCAAGGATTCAACATCACTTTACAATATAAGGGAAGGTTAGGGTGGGGGGTATAGGACTATCAAACTTGA